CACTCACAGAATGGCATAGCTGCCCCAAATGGTCATCTCACTAAACAGGAAATTAGCGAGTGAAAGGACCAATCTGAATGTAGGCAAGATTTTAGGGGAAAACTCGTACACTGTCTAACATATATCTACACCTTATATACCGAGATTGATGGTACAGGCTCCTTGCAAGGCTACTTAGTCGTGGGATATGATCTATCACGAAGAATAACGACAGATTTCATACAACGTTATCATCATCTTTTCATGGAAATCATTTTACGGTAGTGGTTCATTACTTTAACAAGCTTTCATCCTTCTTTTCTCATAGAAACATACTTATACACCATGGAGGGTTACAATGGAAATGAGTGGAATATACGTTCACTCCCCTTGCTGATAGATCATCAGTGTGGACTCGGCACGCTGAAGAGTAAGAGGCCTTTCGAAAAGGCCGGCGCGCTGGATCTGAGGCTATCGATCACGTGATCGATTTGAATAATCTTCCGTGCTGGGCGACGGCCTGACCCTCCAGACGTTGTTGTGTACTTCTAACTACCATCGCCATCATGTGTGAGCTCGTCGCCAAATATGATGCTAAGACCGTCAAGGACGTTCCCGCTGAGCTTTTCATCAAGGCTTTTGCTGCCCACCTGAAGGCTCAGGGTCAGATGGAAGTTCCCAAGGTACTACCATTACCACCTATTTTCACAACTCAATTCTTATCATCGTTCTCCTCTCTTCAGTGGGCCGAGTACATCAAGACCGGCACTCAGCGTGAGCTCGCCCCCTATGATGATGACTATCTTTACATCCGCGCTGCCGCCATTGCTCGCCGAATGTAACGACGACATCTCCGGAATAGCATTTTTTCAAAGTGGACTTCTCAGTTACATCCGCCCCAACATCGGTGTCGGTGCTCTCCGTAAAATTTTCGGCATGAAGTCTAACTCCGGCACTTGCCGTACTCACTTCACTCTCGGTGCTGGCAAGATCAACAGGTAGTAACATAAACTCGGGCAGATCGGATACACCATTATGATTGGTTATAATTAACTAACATTTTCACAGGTTCTTGCTCCAGCAGTTAGAAAAGATGGGTTTCATCGCGCAGAGTGACGCCATGAAGGGTGGTCGTATCATCACCTCACTGGGCCGCCAGACTCTCGACACTGTCGCCGTGCAAGCCGCTAAGGCCGCCAAGCCTGCCGTTGAGGAAGAGGAGGAGGCCCAGCCTGCTGAAGAGGAAGTTGCTCAGGAGTAATCAGCATCATCAACAATGATGATGGAACAGCTCTAGCAATGATGGTTATAACAATGGGTCGTCAGAAGAGCAGCTTCACAACAATCATTACTCTTGCGTTCAGTGTTAATTGTTGGGTATTGATTTTTTGGAACTCAAGAACACAAGTATAGGAGTACTCAGAAAGCGGTGATTTCTCATCGTCGTAATCAGCATAATTACGTTGTTAATGGAGTATCTATGAGAAAAAGATCAAATAAGATGAAATAATTCCGTGGTGTTACACTCTTCAACTGGGCGGCCATAACTGTGGATTGGTCTATTCTGGCATCGATATCCTCATCAACCTCACCAATGGACACTCTGAGAATAACAATATGCTGCATACTTCTGAAGAATCAATATTCTACTACAAGATGTAAACACACTATACTCTAGCTGATAAGCGACTTAGTCTATCGAGAAACATCTCACAGAATCACGACTACTATCAAGTGTTGGAGGATACTATTGTAGCAGCATTCAATATCATTAGTACAGTCTAGGAGCATCGCCTCGTGTGCGATTATACGAGTAGTAATTGGAGTTATTACACATCGTCGCCTCTAACGAGGTAGAGGCCGTGATGAAGCGTCTCAACTCCTTCCACTGTAGAGTAAACCCTCTCCTTACATTCACTCAATACTACATTCAGCGACTGATCAAACCTGATAAGAACCCAAATGTGTGAATAATCAACTTCATTACTACCCGTTGAATTTCCCCAACAGCACTTTACCATCTGCTGTTACTAGAAGCACTTCAGTGTTGAGCATAGGCTCGAGCATTGACGAAGTGTTGGCGAGTGCGGTAGTGGGATGATGATGAGTAGTAGTAGCAGACGCCATTATGGAGAAGCACTAATACCGTAATCTGATCACATCCACAACGATAACTATCGCCTCGTTCTGGTGTTCAGTTGAATTGAAACTGCCGCATTTGGTGATATCAAAGTTCGTGTTATTCGAGATTGCTCATTAGACTGATTCCTATTTAGGATCTAAATAGGAGGAAAAGGGAAATGCTGTTGTTCAAATGGATGAGCATCGTTTCCCGTATGGACGACCGACTGATAAGGAACTCCAAAAACGTACAAGAAAACCGCTAAAATGTGAACTTCAGCCTCCTCATAAAAGGAGTTAATATTATTTTAATGTTAGTAATACTTCTTTTCTGAAAGAACTTCTTTTTTAGAAAGAAATGAACAACGACAACAACGGAGAGATAACTGCCTCTAAAGAATACAATACGACAATGAAAATTCGGTGATAAAAAATATTACGATTTTTGCGTTTGATGAGATTTTCCTCTGAAAAATTTCGTGATTTTCATGCAGAGAGTTTATATGTTCTTATATCAACAGAAATCATCAGTGTGAGAAAATATGCACATGGTCAACTACACATATTGGTGACAATACGAAAATTCTGAGAGGAACTCCTTAATGGTTTCTACCCGAATTCGTATATAACATGGCGAACACATATTCCTCCAACACAACAGTGTCAACAGCAACAAAATAGTGCAGCAGTACCGGTATCATCAATAGTGTGAATCGGTGTTGAGTATAACGACCATAAAAGAGAGAGAACAATAATTTCAACGGAAACCTACACAGAAACAACCACGAAAAAACTAATCACCATCATTGTTGATGACACTGAGGGTTACCACCATCGTCGTGTCCTGAAAAAAATCGAAAATTTCCGCATTTTTTTCTTATTTTTTCCCTCCTACCTCTCCTTTTGTAATTCGCTTCTCTTTCTTTTGATCGCCTCTCCTCATTTTCAATTCGCTTCTTCAAGACTTCACTCTCAGTATTACTCAACCGTTGGGCATACAACGTATGAGACTTCTTCCCAGGACGTTTTTTCTGTACTTTTTCCTCTGCAGTTTTCGTTTCTTCTTTTTTAGTAGAATCACTACTACCAGTAGTATTATTATTATCCCCATTTTCATCATCACCCGTTTTCGAATTGAACCAACTTTTCACCGATTCGATGATACTTTTACTACCGCTCTCCCCAGCATTTTCCGGAGTCTTCACATTTTCCTCCTCAACTTTTGGTAGTGTATTTGCTATACTCTCCTTAATTCTGATCCGATCGTCTTGAGGAATATCCGATAACGCTGTTGGAAATGCAACGTTGAAGCGGATGTACCTACAAGTATGCTTCCAAAACCGATTCATTACAATAATGATGATAACAAAATATAAAAAAATGGGATAGAACTAGTAAATGACCTCTGCCGTTTCCCCAATGTGTAAACTACCTGGCGAACTTGAGTTTTACCAGTGAAACTCATAGTCAAGAAAATGAAAAAGCACGAGCTTATACAAATTTCGTCAAAAAGTACAAAAATTTTGCGCTGCAGAAACATTATACAACATATCTCGGCGCACGAATTTCTTTCTTGCGATAATTCATAGTTTCGAATATTCAGCCGGTCAATACTCAGATGAAGTCAAGAATTAACTATAATATTCCACTGTAAAATACTCATATAATTATAAATTCCGATAGTCATAAACATCCGAGTTCTGATCATAGTAAGAACTCCTAAGATGGCAAACACACAATCACCCACAAATTCCGTCACCATTTCGCACTACAGGAGATCTACACGTATTGATGAAAATGAGGAAATTTTGAGAAATTTGTAAATTTCCAACATATTTTCCATTTTCATTATTACATATCTCCATATTTGCCCCGCTTATTATCAACAGCAGCATTAGCAGGTACAGGCATCCCCATGCCCTTCAAGATCCACATATCACCAGGACGGACCACAGCTCTACTATCATTACTCTCAACCTCATATGAATTACCATCTAGGTGCCTCAAAGGGAATGAGAAACCACACAGAGCCTCAGCCAATGTAATGCTTCTGTCCAAAACCAAATCGTGAGAGAGTCTATGCGCAAACTGCGAAGGTGATGATGATGATGATGTGGACGGCACAAGAGTAATAACAACATCACCAGTTTGATGTTGGACTCTCTCAGATGCTTTACCAGGGAAGGTGATAGTATGATAATCTTCAACACCAGGAGGAACACTAACCGTTAAAATTTCCTCCTCTTTTGTATACCCCTTGCCGTTGCAAGCCTTACAAAGCGCATCTTTAGGTATCTTACACCCCTCCCCTTTGCATGCTGGACAAGGTGATTGCTGTTGAAATAAAGTATATCCCATTTGTCGAGTTTCAACAACAATTCCAGTACCATCGCACCGAGTGCAGGGATCGAACCTGTGCGCGCCGAAACCGTCACAAGAAGTACACTTCTTCTCCCGAACATGTTTAACCCGCTGAGTAAACCCTTTATAAAGCTGCTCTAGTGTCACTGGCATCGCATAAGTAACATCTGGTGTTTTTCTTAAAACTTGCTCTTGTCCACCATAATGCGGTCTACGCCCACCACCACCAGCAGCGCCTCCAAACATCTGTGCGAATAGATCAAACGGATCTTGAAATCTGAATGAAACTATTATGCTCTACTATGGTAGTAGTAGTAGTAGTAGTAGTAGTAGTAGTAGTAGTGGTATTACCCCGCAGCACCAGCGAACGGGTTTCCACCAGGACCAGCCCCACCAGGAGAAGGGCCACCGCCGTTCAGCCCCTCCTCACCGTACTGGTCGTAAATACGTCGCTTATCCGCATCGCTGAGGACTTCGTAACTGATGTAATGAAAATTATCACAAATTGTTGAAATTTTTTAACTTAATTTTCAGCGCGTGAGGGAAAAATATGAAAGAGCTGCGGAAAAAAAGTAAATTTTTTCCCTCCTTGTGCAACATCTACTAGAAAATTCATAAATATTTTCCAAAGGTTTCACTATTTTTCATTAACGTTCAAAACTTGTCATAATAGTGATATTACGCTTCTGAAATTTCCTTGAATTTTTCAGCATCTCCTTCCGGTCTGTCCGGGTGGTATCTAAAAACATCACCAATGCTCATGACATACCATAACATGATCTCAAAGTGAGTTTTAAATCATGACATCATTTCGCTGGAATGAAAAAAAACTAAGGCGTTTATAATAAGTTCGTCACGAACGCATGGAGAGTTTTGCTGTAGTGAACATAGTAGTGGGAAAATAAGTACATGCTCAACTACATGTGTTGATGACAATATGAAAATTCTGAGGAAATTTTGGGAAATTCTCAATACACTTTTGCCCGACTCTGTGTGAAAACTCCTATAAACTTGAGCTCAGCTGAGGAAAGCAAACATATATTCCAACACTGGGGAAATAAATATGATGATGAACAGAAATAACTCCTTACTTGAAAGCCATCTTTTTATACGCCTTTTTGACATCGCTTTCGGAAGCATCACGACTCAATCCCAGTAGTTTGTAATACGCATTATTATCGACCTGAAATGAATCTTACAAATCAACCTAGTAAAATATCTTACTGTTTTCCGTCGCGTTTGATACATCCTTTTCTGATCAGCACTGCTCATGAAGAGTGCCCGAGTTGGTGCTCTATTGTTGCATGATGCTATTCCACGACGGCTCGGCCTGGTTGTTGGCGGTGTGGGATTTGTCGGAGGAGTGGTATGAAGTGGTACTCGGCCAGCCAGAGAGGTAAGGCAGGTACGAGCAGTAGTGTATTCAATAGCACCCATAAGATGCTGTTGCTGTTGATATGGTAGGGAAGGTAACGGCATTTTATACTACCAATGATACCGGAAACTAAGAGTAATATTCACCGTTGAAGTGAAAGAGGAATTGCCCATGTTAGGTTATAAGATGAGCGATAAGTTTATGAATAGCAGTTGAACAAAGTATTCCCATTATGAACAGCTTGAATTGCCCACCCTAAGCGCCGCCAGATCCTTCATAATAGCGGCCCAGGTTCGATCCCCGGTGAAGTCATTTTTCTGCATTTTTATTGACCCTGTACGTCCTGAACAACCCGAATATATGAACTAACGCCGCCGGTTTAAGGAGATTGTGGAAGAAATAGAGAATATCAACACCAAACACAATAGTTGGTTCCTCTGCAAATTACTTCAAATTTGTGTCTGCGAACGGCGAGTGCGATAATAGTGAGCAGTCCTCACTGAGCACGCAAGTGCATGATGTTCATATAGTTTTTGTATTTTTCATTGCAAGTCTATGAGGAAAGTGCTAGACAGCGTCATTTTGGGGCTTTACCGTAACCATTTATGTGAGCCAATAAAACAACAGTATCAACAACAAGGGATATCGAATGAACTACCACTTGCTTCTTGCAGTGCTGTTATAATATAAGTTTGCTTTCCTCATCTGAGCTCAGAAGCTTCCCCACTAGTTATAGGAGTTTATATATGAATGTCACTAGAAATGTACGGAAGCCTACAGAGATTTCCCAAAAATTTTCACATATTTCCCCACGCTTTTCCCTTGTCATTTATCACTATGATTTACACAACATACCATGTTTTT